GATCTTCTCATTTTAAAAGGTACAAATGAGTAGGATATGTGTGCCCAGTACGGAGCCGAGCGAGGACAATCTCCTCTCTACAATCTTTCCGACTGGGAATAGATGTTTTATGTTTCGGTTGTATCTTAAAATATTTGTTGGTGGTCTCGAGAGACCAACGTTGCTGCCATTCATTTTTGAATGGCTGTACGAATAGTAGGTTTAAAATCTGTGTATGGTAGTTTAATGTTTGTTTGTTCTAGATTCAATGCACTTTTTGCTTCCCTGTCAGCAAATTCGTTGCATTTAATTCCGACATGGCTCGGAATCCATAGCAAAGTTATTTTATTTTTTTTAAGATACGAGATATTCGAAGAGCAAGGTTTTGTACGAGTGTGTTTTTAGGATCTCGTAACTGTAAACTCTGTAGGACAGATAGAGAGTCTGAACAAATAATTGCCTTAATAGTCGAGTAAAAATCGGTAAGTCGTTTTATTATGATATCGTTGTCACGTTCAGTCTTACTATAGTTAAAAATAATTGAGTGTGTCCATCCGACTGATAAAAATGCGACGCTGTTGATTCAGTAATGAACCATGTGACATGACTTCCAATGAGGAACATGAATAAGATTATCAGTGCATAGCGACGCTCAGTGGTCCTCAAGCGAACTATACACATAACCGTCACGCTTCGTGTTACAGCTGATCTCTTGGGATTAAGTCGAACTAACGGTTTACAGCATGAAGACAAACAGGAAAATCTCACCTATCAGACGATGGATAAAGGAAAACCTGATGATCACGTTGACTACTGCAGGGATCGTCATCGGGTTCGCTTTAGGATTTGGTATCCGGGAGGCAAAACCATCTCTCGAAGTTCTGACTTGGATAGGTAGGTGGTTTTCGTTAAGTATTCAAGCACGAATCACAACTACACAGTACAAGATGTCAGATGTTAATAGACTTATGGTTGTAATCATATTCTGAAGAGAGATAAACCTGGGCACTTCATAAAAAACTGGAGACCAATAACACTACTCACTGTTATATATAAAATAGCTTCTGGAACAATTACACATAGAATAAAAACAGTCTTAGACAACATTATAGATAAGGATCAGACAGGGTTTCTCGCGGGGCGTTACATTGGGGAAAACACACGATTAGTTTATGACTGAATGCAATTTAGTGAAGAAAATAATATCCCTGGCATGCTATAGGCTTTTGACTCGGTTTCGTGGGGTCTCATTGAAAAAGTTTTACAGTGTTTTGGTTTTGGAATAAGTATACGAAATTGGATAAAGGTATTTCATAAAAAGGTCAGTGCTGCAATCATTCAGGGGGAAACCTGTCATCATTTTTCAATGTAGAAAGGGGCTGTCGTCAGGGCGACCCGATATCCCCATATATTTTTATCCTCTGTGCAGAAAACTTAGCTCTTCCATTGCGAAATTATAAGAACATGAAAGGTATTCAAGTTAATATTTGTCCAATTCTGCTCTCACAGTATGCAGATGATACCTCTTTGGCTTTAGATGGCTCTGAAAGATCTCTTAAAGAATCTGTTAATAAATTAAATTCCTATGCTTAAAATATCTGGTCTAAAATTTAATGTATCCAAAACACAGGTAGTCTGGATTGGTAGTACAAAATTTAGTGATGACACCTTCCTCCCAGAACTTAACTTGCAATGGGGCAGACACAAATTCACACTTTTAGGGATTGAGTTTCATGTTGACTTGCACGAGATACCAAAAATGAATTTTGCAAAAAATTCATATTATTAAATCACTTCCCGTTTCACAATTCAACCATCTATTTATAGCACTGCCAAATCCTGATGAACATTTTCTTTCAAAACTTAATTCTATCATTTTTGAATTTTTGTGGAACAGTAAAACAGACAAAGTCAAAAGAGAAGTTATCATCCAAGAATACCTTAACGGTGGCTTTAAAATGATTAATTTAAAAGTATTAATAGATTCATTAAAATTATCTTGGATCAGAAGGCTTTTTCAGACCACAGCTAAATGGCAAGTTATTTTAAAAAAGTTACGTTAACATGGATTTACTAGGCAACTGTGGCAATGATTATTTTGCAAAAATGTCTAATCTATATTAAAAACACCATTATGGTTTAACAGAAATATAGCTATTGGTCAGAAATCAGTATTTTTTAAGATTTTTTTATGACAAAAATCTTATAACTATAAATGATTTGATAAAAGATCAGAATACTGGAAGCTTTCATAGTTTCCAGGAAATTATTCACACATATCGGGTAAAAGCAAATTTCCTCCAGTATCATAGCATATTGTCAGCAGTGAGAAAGTTTATATCTTCAAATGAGATCCCTAAACTAAAACCTCTCTATCCTCTTTTACCAATGAACATTGAATTATTCCTGAAAAACAGAAAAGGCTCGAAAGATTTCTATCATATTTTTAAAAATAATACTGTTCCAACAGGTAAAACGAAGTGGAACAGAGTCTTTGACTTGAATGATTCAACATGGGCTCAAATATACAAGATTCCCTTTAGTGTTACAAAAAACACCAAACACCAATGGTTTCAGTACAGAGTTTATCACCATGTTTTAACCACAAACTCTTTTATCTTTAAAACACATCTAGTTATTTCTCCTCTCTGTACTCTATGCAACTCTGAAAATGAAACTGTTATACATATCCTGTGGGAATGTCAAGAAGTCCAGAATTTACTAGATAGTCTAAGAGTTCTACTAGATGCTCTTGTCATCCCATTTAATTACAATAAACAATCCTATATTTTTGGATTTTTATGTCAAAATTTCAATAACTGCAAAGTTGATAATGAAATTCTCCATGTTATAAAACAGTATATTTACAAAATGCGATGCTTTCACAACTCCCTCAACATCAATGGACTTATTAATGCATTAAAACAATTTTACGACTTGCAAAACTTTATTGCTAACAGCAATGGAGAACCTGCCAGGAAAGAATTTGAAAAAAAAATGGAAAAAATGTGGAAAATTTACCGAGTTGTAATTTCATAGTCTAGCTCTCTTCTCTTCAATGCCGTACAGTGCTTGCTGATTTCTTTCAAAATTAATCAGCTGTTAATATTTACTGCTTCAATCTTGCTAATAAATTGAATTTTAGATAGGAAATAGTGTCATCTCTCTATATGTATGATGTGTAGTGAATAGAGTAGTATGAAATCTGTAAGATGAGTGTTCTGTACAATTACCCATATTTTGCCGTCATAATTTACAGACTTGTATCTCATTATTTGTCATGCGTATGTGTTTGAAAAATCTGAATAAAATTCTAAGTTACAAAAAAAATGTTACTCATTCGACTATAACACACTTAATTAGATGCACAAAATCAATACATCAAAAAGTTAAAAGCTTTTAAGGGTGCGTCAGTTATGCAATTACTTAGATTTGATCAAGAAAATATTAATGGTTTCAGCTTCTGAAAACAAATCTGATGTGTTCACAGCTGCAAGGTTTTTAAATTACATCCAATACAATACATTCAAAATCTGCCATACTACAATTATACACTTAACACCTGTATATATATCTCGATGCGTAAGGCTATGAATGCAAATAACATATTAAAGCAATACTCCTCATTGAAGTTGTTTACAAACCAACAACTCAAATTTGTAAACACCTCTTAAACGTGATATTTAAAAATATATTTATCTTGTCTAGACTTGATCTCTGAGTAAGTGTTGCGTAAGTAGTCTAATATAGGTGTTTGTGACCAGGTATCTCAATGGTCTATGATGAGTGTTTGTAAACAGGTATCTCAGTGGTTTAAAGTAAGTTTTTGTGTCAAGGTATCTCAGTGAACTATATTTTTTGAGATCAGGTATCTCAGTTGTCCATAGGTAGTGCGTCTGTTACTGTTCGTGACAAGGTACATGTAACTCAGTGAACTATAATTAGTGATTGTTACCAGGTATCTCAGTGGTTTATAGTATAATTAGAGTTTGTGAGCAAAGATATCAATGCTCTATAGGTAGAGGTTGTGACCTGGTATATCAATGGTATATAGCTAGTATTTGTGACCACATATCTGAATGGAGTATACATGTGGTTGAAAATTGACTAAAACGTTACATGTAATCAGTTCATCATTTTTTATTTTCATATTTAAGAACTGATTATTTCACACGTTTCGAAAAGTGAAAAACGTATATAAAAATTAGTCAAAGTCATGGACCTAGGTCTAGTCTAATTACTTGGTGAAATGACGAATTATATCAACATGTAGCTTATTTTTCCAGATCTCGTGAGTTCCGTCCCCTTAACAACTTTCGACTCATAGTCAGACCACGGAATTAGATTGCTATCTAAGTCCGTGCTAGAAGTGACCATTTTCAGCCAGTAAACTTGCTTAACTATTCTGATACCCAATGATTTCATCAGAAAGAACAACTAAAAAGACTACTGACACTCTATTTTTTTTTTGTTTTACCTATGGGTATATACACATCTTTTATAATTATTCATGTTTTGTAATATTTGATTTTTAGCACACGGCTTCTCCCCCATAACAAAAATTCAAAAGGTTGACAAGTATGCATTTATCATTTATTACCATGCATCATTCGTTTACAAAAAATAAGTGCAATTAACGCCTTCATTAAATAAAGATACAATTAAAGGGTAGAACAAATATAAGAAATATTAACGTATATGGTAAAAGACATTGTACATGTAAAGGGGACTTCATGGAATGCTTGATGTTTGTCATTTTTTGTAGGTTTCGGTATTTTGATTAAATAGAAGAGACACAACTGATGAAATAACGTGTTAAAAGAAACGTTTTTCAACACGTCTAAATACATTTTGTGCATTTAAAAAGCATGGCAATGTATTTTCCTAAACACGTTACAAACTTACATCAATTGGCCTGCCGCTTTATCATTTATAACTGAATCTCGAATCCCCCTCGACTTCGACAGCATTATGTGTGCCGTGACCCTTATCAGTATAGCATATGTGTATTTCAGACATTTGTAACGAACCCAGGTGTGATTGAACCTAGTACTAATATTAATAACCGACCTCCTCTGCCCAAGACGACGCAATATATAAAACGAATCTGTCTTGGTCAGAAAGCTACTTTATCGCAGCTAGATTGAGTTCTTTACATCTGTGTATGTGTATGTGTGTTGTGACCCATATCAGTATAGCATATGTGTATTTCAGACATTGCACCAGGTGTGAGAGGGGGACGGGGGAGTGACCAGAGACAAATAAAGCCAGTAGTATATACGTCTCTGTTGTGACACAGACACGAATTCGAACTGACAAAGTAGCTAGGCTACGCATACTTACTTTGAACCCACACATGCGCATACATACAGTTGTGGGACAGCCCAACGCACCAAAAATAGCGTGCGCACACCGTGCATATATCGTTCACACACCGTCCGCACATCGTTCACACATGGTGCGCACAACTTTGCGATTTAGCAATCGTTCGCCCCGTTGTGCGCTTCTCTCCGCACAACTGTGCGATTTGGTATCATTTGTAGATCAAAATTACGGAATGACAAAAATACGGAAGGCTTGTATGCGATAATGTACACTGTGTATATAT